GTAAATGGTGCTGCGATAACTGGCTTTCCACATGCTGAAGTGTTTTGTTTCGTGTTTTGCACTGGAAATTGAACTCAGGTCCTCGCAATTGCCAGGCAGGTGCCACGCCGCTGAGCTGTATGCCTGCCCCCAACATCCTGAACATTAAAACTAGACCCATCTCTTTCACCATGCATTAAACTAAAACTGAGATGGATCAAAGATTTAAATATTAAAACAGAAACACTAAATCTGCTGGAAGATAGAATAGGTAGAACTCTTGAAGATGCTGGTGTAGGCTAACACTTCATGAACAAAATCCCAATCACACAGGAACTCTCACAAAGAATCAACAACTGTAATCTCATCTTATTAAAAAGCTTTTGCACAGCAGGAGAAACCACCAACAGAGTGAAGAGACAGCCCACGGTGTGGGAAAAGTTTTTATCAGCTGTTCCTCAGACAAAGACTACTATCTAAGAATATATGTAGCTCAGCGGCACAGTGCCTGCTTGGCAAGCAGGAGGCCCTGAGTTCAATTCTTCGTACCAAAAAAATAAAAATAAAAAATAAACTAGCTTCTGGTTTTTGAGACTATACCAACTGCACAGCTGGTTCAAGCCCATGAAGTTTGAATCACATATGACACTTTGGAGCCAGGTGTGGTTGCCCATGTCCGTAACCCAGCACTCTGGATGAGGGAGGGGCGTTACAAGTTCAAGTTCAGCCTGGCCAACTTAGCAACTTAGTGATACCAACTCAAAAAGGGGCCGGGGATATAGCTCAGTGGCACAAGCACCTGTCTGGCAAGCGTAAGGGCTGGAGTTTGATTGCTGGGACCAAAAAAAAAAAAAAGTGAGGGTTGGGGATGTAGTTCAGGGTGAAGGTCCTGGGTGCAATCCTTAGTAGTAAAAAAATATGTATTTTCACCCTTCCAGTGTTGAAGTCCAAGGGAACTTGGACTATGTGCTCGCTATGGAGGGTCTGTCATCCCCTATAAACCACATGGATTAGTAACTGGAAGGAGGTGGTTCACTAGATAAAAACTGCGATGTGGTTGTCCGGAAAACGACCAAGGCAAAAAGCAATAGCGAGGTGGCAGAGATGAAAGGTTTAGTACTCAAGTGTTAGCCACTGCGCGATCCAAAGAGTTCCACAGCACAGGCCAGAATCCTTTTCCTGAGCTCTGGGAGCGGTGTCTGAAGCCGGGAGAGACAAGGACCCGGCATTCAGCATCTCAGAAAGCAGGGCCCAGGCGTCTGTGCCTGGCCTTTGGCTGCAGCAGCTGAACGCCAAGCTCTGCCCTCTGCAGGCCTCAACCCGAGATGTGCACCGAGAGCCAGGTTCACTAGGTAGGACCTGGTTCTGGAGCCACTTTAGAGTACATGAATCCCAAACCTAAGTATCTAGATACAGGGCCCATTTGGGTCTATCTTGTGCTGGGTGAAATAACTTACCATCACTGGTAATTCATAACACTGTGCTCTGTATTTACCTCCAATTATAGGGGTTTTTTTGTTTTTTGTTTTGTTTTTTTTTTGAGACAGACCCTCGCCATGTAGTTCAGGCTGACCTGGAACTCACTACATAGTCCAAGGTGGCCTGGAGCTCACAGGAACCCTCCTGCCTCAGCCTCCAGAGTACTGGGATTACAAGCATGCACCACCACCCCTGGCTTTATGACACTTTTGAGTGTTGCTGTGACCTTGACTTTTGTGGGGAGGGTGATTATTGGGGATTGAACCCAGGGTCTTTTTTTTTTTTTGGGTACTGGGAATCCAACTCCGAGCCTTGCACTTGCCAGGAAGATGCTTATACTGCTGAACTACATTCCTGGACCAAACTCAGGGTCTTTACACTGGTCTCACTAATTTCCTAGGCTGGGCTTGAATTTATGATCCTTCTACCATTAGCTTCTGGACAGAAACTGAAGTGATTATGGCCACTGATAGATCTTCACTGTGCAAACTGAGGGGGTGGTGTTAACTTAGGGCCATTACCAAGCTATAGCCCATCCTTTTTTTGTTTTTAAATTTCGAGACAGAGTCCTGCCTATAATTTATACAGGCTGGGTTCAAATTTGTGATCTTCCTGCCTCAACCTCCCAGGCATGCACCACCTTGCCTGACTTTTTCAGTTTTTGATGATCAAGTAAAAATAGGCTATACAGCATTTTAAAATTTCCCCAATTTTTTTTTTTTTTTTTGGCTGTGGTGGGGATGGAGCCCATGGCCTTGGGTATACTAGGCAAGCGCTCTACACTGAACCACATCCCCAACTTCCCCATTTTTCTATTTTCAAAAATTTTGAGACAAGGTCTCGCCAAGTAGTTCAAGTTGTCTTGGAGCTATGTACCCCAGGCTGGGCTTGAACTAGTGATCCTCCTGCCTCAGCCTCTTAGGTGTCAGGATTACAGGCACAGACCACGCCCAGCAACTTTGAAAAATTTTAAACCAGAGTACTTAAAATAGTAACACTGAAATAGTCAAAAGATGAATATTCCTTTATTCACAAAGACTTTCTGACCTAAGAAACTTGGCAGTCCCTGCTCTATGTTAGTACCCAGGTACCTTCTCTACGGTTATCAGAGCAGCAGCCCCATCTCTGAGAAGAACTTCCGGTCCTCAGAGACTGTACAATGAGCTTTCTGTCGCGCTGTTACTCAGAAACTCACAACACAGTAAGGTAAGCAGGACAGAATTTATTCCCATTTACAGGTGAGGAAACTTACTCAGGGGCCAAGTTATCTCCCTGCACTTGGTCTCAAGTCAGTAAGTGACCCAGCTACAACTGGACCGAGGGGTGTCTGACTTTAGTAACACAGTCCTTCCTCTCCCTGGGTCTGGCACAGATTAAGGCCAGAGATGCTTCCCATGTGTAGGAAGGAAAGTATGTTTCGTTCTTCTGACAACCAAGCATCCACCAGGCCCGGGTGCAGTTCCCTCACCCTCTTAGGAACAGAAGCCCATGGGAGTACACGAGGCAGACAGGACACCAAAATCTGCCACCCACTGCTTCTGGTTTTCATTCAGCATTTACTGAGGGCTTATTCTGCCCAGCTACTGTACCCAGGACGTAGCTCAAAGCAGACAATGATTCTGCCTTTGGCAGTTCATGTTCTCATGGGTTCTTCAATCCCCAAGCTGCCAGCAGGAGGCTGGCAGGTCATACCCTGCCCATGTTAGTGTCTCGTGTGGTCCTTATAGTGCGTGATGTTTTTGTTCAGTTGCCAATGTCAAGCTTTTCTCAAACAGCGAACTTGTGCCGGGTCCTTAACAGTAAGCAGCAGCCTGTCCCGCCTCACACCCGGGACACCTGCCTCTGGCTTACTGCGGACTCCAGTGATTTTGGTACCCACTTGAGATCTGCAAGCACTAAAGCTGAAACCCCTGAAGCAAACAAACACCCAAACAAGCTTCTTTTGGGCAGCATTGAGTAACACAAAATAAAGTTAGCTGTGACACTTGTGATGATCAGAGGAAAGGGCTACTTCAGATGCGGTGGGCAGGGAGGGTAACTGCGGTACAAAGAAACGGAGAACTGACCTGGGGCTAGTCTGCTACCAAGAGAGAAGAAAAACACTTCCATGGGGAGGAACCAGCAAGGCCAGGGCCTGCTCGAGGCTGCAAAGAACTTGCCTATTCTCCAACAGCAAGACTGGCCCGGCTGGAGAGCAGGAAAGGACTACAGAGGGGCAGAGCGAGGTCACACAGCCAGGGTGAGAATTCCAGATTTTGTTCCAAGAGGCAAGGAAAACCTTTGAAAAGAACAATGTCATCTGTTTCACGCTATCGAAAGCTCGGTCTGCTACGCTGAGAAGCGAATTAATCAGGCAACAAAGGAAGCAGAACCTACTGGGTGACAGTGGCGAGGACCAGGGTGGTGGCAGAGGAGACGAGAGGTGGCAGCAGGCTCTGCATGTCACCTGAAGCACAGGCAAAGGGGTTTCTGAGGTGAGGATGAGGTAGTGGCAGCAGACAGTGTCAAGAAAAGGGAGCAGTCACGGACCACGGCTGGGCTATGGCTTGCTCAGACATCCAACAGTACTGGCGACAACTGGAGCAGGTCCCAGTTTTGGTCAAGCGATCAAAACTTGGATTTCTGATGAGCATATTTTGCCACATCCTGAACCCTCCTGGAGTCCTCATCTCCCAGCCTCCTCCTCGCCAAACAGCTCCCAAATCCCCAAATTCAAACTGTTGTTTTGAGATAGGGTCTTGTTACACAGTCCGGGCTGGCCTCAAACTCATGGGGATCCTGCATTTCCCAAGTGCAGGCATCACAGGCCTACGCCATCAGGCCCAGACCAAAATTCGATTTCTGAAGACCTAATCCCTTATCAAATCTAACCCTTCCACTCCCTACTCAGTGTCTCCGTCCTGATTGCAATCCTCTCTTATCTTGACCTTTACCACAGTCCACTGTAGTAAATAAAACACTTCTTTCTTCTCAGCCAGCTTTTTTTTTTTTCGTCTTTCTGAGACAGGGTCTCGCTATGCAGTTCAGGCTGACCTTGAGCTCACTTTGTAGCCCAGGCTGGCCTCAAACTCCCAACGATCCTCCTGCCTCAGCTTCCTGAGTGCTGGGACTACTAGCATGTGCTACCACACCTGGCTCTCAGGCATCTTTGATGGCAGAGACCCCTTCTTTGCATCTGTTGCCCCTGTCCAGTGCTGCTGTCAGGGTAGACAAGTGAGTGATGAACTGAAGAGGGTCCCTCAAGCAGGGTGTCACCTTCGGAAAGCAGAAGCCCCACTTCAAGGCGTAACACTATTCTTCCACAAAATGCGGGGCCAAACCAGGCACAACACGTGTCGAGTCTTGTGACTGAGCCTTGCTAAGGAACGCACTTTTGTGCTTCTAGTTTGGCTTTGCCCACACTGTTTGACCCTTTTAGCAGGCTGTTAATGACTGATCATCCTCACCCACTGCAGTGTGGGGACCTTCTACTCACTTCACCTCAAAGCCTCTGTGGAAGAAGCCACAGCACTGTTCTCTATTTTGCAAAGAAGAAAACAAAGCCCAGAATGAATTTCTTCCTGTTTCCTTTTTGCCAGTTAGGAGCCTGGGGCCGGTGAAGACTCAGCTTCCCCTGACCTCACCGCCCCGCTCTGTAACTGGAAGGTTTCCAACGTCTCGCTTGCAAGGCTGCTGCCTTCTTCTCCAGTGTCCCTAGGCTCCACCTCTGTATTTCCGAACTTCTCTGAGTGTCAGGGTACATTGTCATAAGGTCAAGTTCTCTCACTCCTCTACCACTCTCCTCGGGGCTGGAGGAGGACAAACACCGCCCCTTGCACCCAGGAGGGAGGGACCCTGCTCTCTGGTCCAGGAGGAATGCGAACCAGTAAGAGGAGAGGGCTGTCCAAGTAGGCAAGAGTACGTTCAGTGGGACGGAGACCAGAGAGGCCACCAGTACGAAAACAAGTCAGGGGACTCCTTTCACAAGGTTTCCGCCTGGGAGCACCTGGGAAGAAAGCGGCGGCGGGCACAGGCAGCAGGTCCCTACCCGAGCCTGAGCCAGTCACTTCTTCAGGGCGCCCAGGCTCCTCAGGGCTTCCTGGGCCTGCGCTAGCTGCTGCTGCAGCCTCTGGCGGGTGCTGTCGCTGGAGGCGCGCTTCAGCAGGGTCTGCATCTCTTCCACCACCGCCCGGTGGCCTGGGGTGTTGTGGAAGAGCCGCACGGCCCGGTCTCCGCAGGAGGCCAGCAAGCGGCCGGTGACATCGAAGGCCAGGTCGGCGATACACTCCCCGTGCACCTGTTCAAAGCTCTCCTCTTTCTCGCCGCGCCGCGTGTTGTACAGATGAATGCTGGTGCCGCTGGCCAAGGCCAAGACGTGGGTGTCAGGGGAGAGTGCCAGGCGGCACGGCATGGTACTCGCCTCTTCAAAGCGGCCTGTCCTCAGCAAATAGGGGTCCTGCTGCTTCTTGTATTCCACGTCAGTGTCCCACAATTTCCACGTGCCGTCCTTGGACACAGAGGCCATCCTGCAACATGGTACATCACGGCTTGAGCCCCAATCCCATCCCTGGCAGGGAAGGCCCTGGGACAGCCTGAGGGACTGCAAGCCAGGAATCCCATCTACCTGCTGTAAGGGCAGATGCCCTGCCCCCTGCGAGCCCCAGCACCCACAGGCAGAAGAGCCCTGGGGGAGATCAAGGGGCATCCGGGCACTCACCGCCGGGAGTCGTTGGAGAAGGCGAAGCAGTGGACAGCTGCCGAGTGGCCCTTCAGTTCAAAGGCTCGCACGACCTCCTGGAATTCCCCCTTCTTTCCAAAGCAGACTTCCCAGACCTTCACATCCGGGGTGAAGCCACACGAGCCCACAAACCTGCCACAAAAGCCAGCTTCCTTGAAAACTGGACCTGAAGGGCATCCTGTGCCTACAAACCCCTTAAACATCTTTCCTGAGAAAAAGGCACTTTTTTCAATGCTGGAGATCAAATCAAGAGTCTTGCACACCCGCCACCCCAGGCTGAGGTACCTGCTACAAAGCGCCCCTAAAGCCAGGCAGAGTGCTGCACACACCTCAAATCCCAGCACTCTGGGAGCCCAAGGCTGGAGGGTCATGAGTTCAAGCCTAGGCAGGGCAACTTATTGACTCAGGGAACAGTCTGATTTGAAATAAAAATAAAGGGCTGGGGATGTAGCTCAGTGCAAAGAACCTGGATTCAATCCCCAGTACCGAAAAAACAAAAAACAGAACAAAAAAATACTAAGTGCTTCTGTGTATGTGACCTCCTAGCTTGTTCTAAGATACATAGCAACCCAACCCTACCCTCTAATGATGGCAGACGGACAGACACAGACCAAGGACTGGCAGCTGCATGACATCCATCCCCGCAAGGGGAGAGCTGGGATCTGATCTGAGCATCCCCGGGCTCCACCCCGAGTGCCCGCTCCACCCCACAGACTGCCTCTCCCCTCTGTACCCACTGCAGGCCCAGCCGCACCCCGGGCCCCACCCAGCCCCTCACCTGCTGCAAGGGGATATGGCAGCGTAGGTGTTGTTCATTTGGTTGGTGTTAATGGTGGACAACACTTGGCCTTTCAGATTCCAGATGAGGACAGTTGTGTCACTGGAGGCCGTCATGATGAACTTTCCTAAGGGGAGGGGAAGATGTGAGCCACAGGCAGCGACCCGACCAACTGACATTCCCCAAAGGGACATCAATGAGGCCTGTGCTGTCCAAAGTCCCCATGATCCCCTCCCAGGCCAAGGGTTACTACAGATAAGGACTGGGCTGAAGACTACAGCTCTTCCCTGCCTCCTCCCGGGACATGCTGTGGCCCTTGGGACTCCAGGGAGGACACAGCCAGGCTGCTTAGAGCCACAGCCCCTTGGTCACACTGAGGCCCAACAAAACCCTCATGTACCAAGCATTCACTCGGCAAACATGCCTCATCAGGTTTTCTCTTACTTCGGGCAGCTCCACCCTCTGAATGCCTCACCTGTGTCAGCAATGCCAATGTTGATGACAGGTGCCTTGTGCTTTTTAGGGAAGTCCTCTGGGGTGGCTGTGAAGGAAAAGCCTCCATCTTCTCGCTTGGTCATCTTGAAGACACGAAGGGTGTCCCCATTAGCCAGCCAGACGACGAAGGCCCTAGAGACAGCAAATAGGACATTCTCTCCCTTAGAGATGGAGGCCTAGGGTTCCAGGCCCTGTGCTAGGTTTCTGGGAAAAATCAGAATCTCCCTTCACAGCCTACAGCATAGCTTTATAATGTAACAGCCTGGCTCAAAATATCTTAAGACTATTTACAGGCACACGTCTGTAATTCCAGCACTCTGGGAGGCTGTGGTAGGAAGATAACAAATCTGAGGCCACACCAACTTAGTTACTGAGTGATACCTTGTCTCAAAAAAAAAAATAAAGGGGTGTCGGGCCATAGCTTAGTGCAAAAGCTCTGGGTTTAATCCCCAGGAACAAAAAGCGAAAAAATCAAAAGGATTCTCAGTGCATGGCTCCTTTAGCTTCTCCCTAAGGTTCAGAAAACTTTGAGCGCTCCCAAGACTCGTGGAAGCCCGGCCTTGGAAGCTGCTGGGTAGAAGAGGGCTTTGGCTCTGTTTCTTTGCTGTGCGGTGGCACAGCCCTCCAGGAAGCCTCAGATGGCGTCCACGCTACCTGGATGCCCTCCTCCTGCCCCTCAAGGACACCCTGGGCCCCTCCTCCCTCCCCCCAAGCCGATCTGGGATGGCCAGAAGCTGGGGCTGGGCTTCTGTGGGCAAACCTGAGGCTCCGTCCTGTCCCACCTGCAGTCAGGGCTGAAGCGCACCAAGGTGGCGTGGTCCAGCTCCACGTTGGCTCGCATGCTGCGGTGCTCCCGCTGCAGGAAGTCCTTGGTGCTCCAGATGCGGACGGTGCGATCATCTGCACAGGTGGCCAGATACTTGCCATTGCTGCTGAAGTCCATACACGATACATTCCCGCTGTGGCTCTGGGTAAAGGGTGTGGGAAATATGAGCAGACAGAATGGCCAGACCTGAAACCCCGACGCTAGGGATGCTGAGGCCCTGCTGCATGGACGTCCAGCAAGCTGAGGGTGACCTGGGCAGATGAGGGACAGCACAGGAAAGGCCACTGACTGTGGCCAGAGGCACAAGGGGTCTGAAACGCCACAGTGATGACAAAGGCAAAGGACAGCAAGGGTGTGAGTCCTGTGTGGGGACCCATGGGGACACTCATACCTTCAGCGCTGCAGCCAGAAGGCGGTGGGTGAAGTTGTGCTGCTGAGGCTTCTCCTTGCGAATCCGCTGCTGCTGTTTCTGCTTCTTGGATCCTGGCTTCTTGGGTCCATTTGTTTTTTGGACTATAAGGAAGGGGTGACACCATTCATCTACTCGCTCACTCGTCAGCCTGTGACTCAGCAGCTCCTAACTGAGGGGACAGCAAGAGATGAAGCACGTGTGGCTCATGCTGGAGGATAGAAAGCCTGCCACAAACGGAGGCTTTGGAACTGGCCCAGGATCTAGGTTTGACCGTACCCTGGGGGCGCTGGAGGAGGCTGCTTCCTGCTGGTCGGCAGAGCGCCTCAATGCGGATCAGGAAAGGCGCCCTCTCTGGGCTGAGGCAGCACAGCCCGGGGAATAAGGCGCACACTCAACCTGGTGGCCTTGGACAAGTCGTTTAATTGCTCTGGGGCTTGGTGTCCTTGAACAGCAATCCAGAGAACTGGACAACATAATATATCCAAAAAGCGCCCAACACATGCATGGAAGGCTGAAGGCCTCTAGGAACTCAGCATGTGTTTGAGTGCGGACCTTGTGCCAGCAACGGTGCCAGTCTCTTTTGCATAAAACACTTGATAATCAGGCAAGTGATGGTGGGGGCAGATGCTTCCCAATTTCTACAGGAAGGAACTCCTGACCCTGTGCACAAAGATGGCCACAGTTTGGCCCTGCTCTAAAAGCCCCTCCTGGCCTCTGAGTCATACCAACTGCAGTGTTGGGACTCCCTGCCTTCAGTTTTCCCTCCTTCTCCCTTAGCTTCTTGGCAAACTCTTCCAACGCCCCCATCCTTCAAAACCCTACAAAACGGGCTGGCCATGTAGCTCAGGGTTAGGGTGCCTGGCTGAGGCCTCGACCCATCTCCAGCACCCAACACCTAAACAACAGAAAAACCATCTCACTGTTCCCTACGCTGAAGGTTTCTATGACTATCCCTCTCCCAAAGTGAGGGGCTTGTTTCCTGTTTCTAGTATTGACCTTTCTGTGAAATGAATTACACTATTTATTTTGCAGTACCAAGGATTGAACCCACTTCCTTTGCAATCGAGCTACATCCCCCAGTGTCTTTTTTTTTTGAGACCGGGTCACTAAGTTTCCCGGGCTGGGCTCCCAACCTGAGACCTTCCTGCCTCAGCCTCTCAGAATTCGGAAATACAGGCATACACCGGCCAGGTGCATAAATTTTTCATTGCACTTTTCATTACAAAATTATAATTAGCAGATTTAGATTCTAAATGCACATTTTAGACGCACTTCTCTACTAGGTTCATTCAAGACCCCGAAGTCTGTCCGGGGTAGCAGGTTCCCTGAGGAGCACTGCAGGTGGCCGGGTTCGTCGGGCAGCGCGCTTGAGTTCCCGGCCCTGTCGCAGCTGTCCCGGGCACCGAGACAGCCCTGGATCTGCTCATCCAGACCCAGGGTGCGACCAGCCTGGCGGGGCAGCACCGCATCTCTGGAAGGAAATCTTTCAAACGGAAGAAACTGAGGCCCAGGAGCCCTGGCCTCCGCGCCCGGCGGCGAGATCCCCGCGTGGCCCCTGCCCGCCGCGGCCCCACGTACCGACGGGCTGGCTGCCCTTCTCCTCCTGGGCGCGCAGCCACCCCCGCGCCACAGCCGCCGTCGCCATCAGGGCCAGCAGCCCGACCACGAAGGACAGCACCATCAGCTCCGACATCGCAGGCAGCTCCATCGTGGCCGAGCCGCTGCCACCTCAGCCGAAGACGACGCCGGCGTTCGCACGTCTCCACGCACGCGGGGGCGGGGCCGGCCGTTAGCGCGCCGCGAGGGGCGGGCCCGGGCCGTTGGGGCGTCCTGCGGGGCGGGGCCTGTCCTGGAGGATGTGGCCTGGCCGGTGATTGGCGTCTCCTGAGGGGCGGGGCCTGGCTATTGGGGTTCCTCCCCCTGAAAAATTCACTGATAATAGTGCCAAAGGTTTTTAGAGCCGGGTATGGTGGCGCACGCCTGTAATCTAAGTATTTGGGAGGCTGAGGCAGGAGAATTGCCACGATTTCGAGACCAATCTGAGCCATATAGTCAGTTCAAGGCCATCTTGGAGTACATGGCAAATAAATTAACAAAGGTTTTCTTCCAGCATCACCACCCTGGATCTTCTCTAGAAAGTAGAGAAGGGGCTGTGATTACCTTATGACAGGTGGGAGAGTCTTGCTAGCAGCAGGGGACATGCAAATAAGCTTCTGGGTTGCCGAAGGGGAAGGGCGGCCAAGGCGCGCAGCCTTGAGCTCCAGACAGCTGCATCGCGGAGGGGCGGGGTCGAGAGGAGGGGAGGGGCCGAGCTCAGGGGCTGGCGGGTGCGAGAGTACACGGCGCTGAGCCTGGGCTCCTGCGCCACGCGGCTCCTCGCAGGGACCCTGGTGTGGGCCCTTGTGTGGAAAGACCAAGGAAAGAAAGACCTAAAGTGTCGCAAGATTCCCGGAGGAAGCTAACGAGGGCCAGGACTCGGGGGCGGCCTGGGGTGTGGAAGGGACGTTGGAAAGATCATATTTATTTTTGCGGTGCTGGGGATGGAACCACAACGCCCGGCTCCCCAGACCTTTTTCATTATATATAGATAGGTAGATAGATAGATAGATAGATAGATAGATAGATAGAATTTTTTTTTTTTTTTTTTTTTTTGAGATCTAGGGTCTCACTAAATTGATAAATTTCCCAGGCTAGACTCAAACTCTCTATCCTCCTGCCACAACCTCCTAGAGTTCTGGGATTATAGGCATGTGCCACCATGCCCAGTTAGAAAAGGAGATTTTAACAAAGATTATTTTAAAATTAATTCTAAGGTGGGGCGTGATGGCGCATGCCTGTAATCCCAGCACTTGGGAGGCTGAGGCAGGAGGATCTTTGCGAGTTCAAGGCCAGCCTGGGCTACAGAGTGAGCTCAAGGCCAGCCTGAACTGCATAGTGAGACCCTGTCTCAAAAAGACAAAAATAAAATAAAATACAATAAAATAAATTATGGACTCACAGGAAGTTGAAAAATGAAGAGAGGCCCAGGGGTCCTGGCACGGTTTTCCTCCATAGTAACATCTTGCAAGAGTGTAGAATAGCACAACCAGAACCTTGACATTGACACAGCCTCTACAGAGGAGACCAGATTTCACCGAAAAGGACCTATTCTGAGAGACTGGCTGATTTGCGATTCTTTGTTTTTGGCTTTTTGAGACAGGGTCTCACTATGCAGTTCAGACTGGTTTGAACTCACATTGTAGGCCAATTTGGCCTCAAACTCGAAGTGATCCTCCTGCCTCAGCCTCCCAGGTGCCGGGATTGTAGGCCTGTGCCAGGATTCAGGATTCTATCCACTAGGCTGTTCTAACGGTCCACGACAGGCATGCTCCTGGAGCCAGAGCACAGGTGCTAGGGTCACCATTCCAGCCTCAGATGTTTCCATTGTGTCCACCCTTGCTGGGGAGCTGCCTCTCCTCACAGTCCCAGCCCAGGAGCCCTTACTAGAACCCTTTGAGGAAGCTAGACCTGGTGTCACAGGCCTGGAATTCCAGCACTCTGAGGGGCTGAGGCAGGAGGATTTCAAATTCAAGCTCAGCCAGGACAATTTAGTAACCCAAGGCAATTTAGCAAAACCCTGTGACAAAAATGAAACACTAAAACAGGGCTGGGGCTATAGCACAGTGCTGAGGCCCTGCGCTCAATCCAAGTACAAAAAAAGAAAAGGGCACTCTGAGGAGAAGGGCAGTTCAGAGGTTGACTGACAGACAGACAGACACACCCACAGTCTCCGGTGAGGAAGCAGATCCAGTCTGAACAAATGGAGTGGCCTCACTTCCTTCCCTTTTGTCCTTTTCTGGGAAACTGGCATTGACTCAGCTGTGGGCGTAGGGTGGGGTGAGAGAGGGCGGGGAGGGGGTGTCTAGCGCCTCCCAGGCCCTCTCCTCCCTAATTTGCTATTTAGAACTGCAGCCCCAGCCATGAGCCGTCTTCCTCCACCATTCAGAGGCAAAGGTGTACTTTCCCTTTTTTTGAGACAGGGTCTGGCCACATAGTCCAGGCTGGCCTCAGACTCACTTTGATCCTCCTGCCTCAGCCTCCCAAGATGCTGGGCGAAGGCAGTACTTTTCAGAAAATTTCCTTGCCCATTTCACATGCGATGTTTATGGATCCAGGGGCTTTGTGTTTTGCTGGAACTTCTCACAGTCCCCTCCCGTAGGTAAGGACTGAAGTGTAAGGAAGTTACACAGCTGTGCCAGAGTCGCATGGGTGGAGATGCGGCCTGAGGTTGCATGCAGGCCTGACTCCAATCTATGGATGGGGGCCAGAAAGAATAGCCCTCCTTGTCCAGCTCGGGCAAGCTACAAAACTCTTCCACATCCGTGAGTTAGGTTGATTTGGATAATGACCACTAACACTGATGATGTTGGGCATGGTGACTCATGCCTGTGACCCCAGGGAGGCTGAGACAGGAGGAGCACCTTGAGTTTGAGCCCAGCCGGCGTTACATAGTAAGTTCAAGGCAGGCCTGGACTACATATCAAAACTCTGTCTCAAAAAAAAAAAAAAAAAAAAAAAAAAAGTAGCTTGGGGTGTGGACGTGGCTCTCAGTAGTAGAATGCTTGTTGAACATTTGTAAGACCGTAGGTTCAATTCCCAGCACCACAGGGACAATGAATGATACCAAACATGATTCAGGAGAACTGGGTGGGTCGAGGAAAGGGCTCGAGGGCAGAAGGACTTGGCTGTAGCTTCCAAGGCGGGAAGAGAGGGTGGGAGGATTCCAGATGGGGAAAGTGAGGCACAAGCAAAGGTATGGGGTGGAAGGAGCAGATTAGGGGTGCACATGCTTGGACTCCACTAGAGGTGCTACTCCGGAACTTTGCAGGTGTGGCCCAGCTGTCTTCTTCCTCACCCATCTTGTTCCCCTTCCATTTAAACATGTTCTGTCTACTTCCCAATATCTGTCCTCCACTATGCTCTTTAATGGGTTTCTCACACAAGAGAAAGTGATATTGAAACTTGTGTGTCTGATTGATTTCACGTAAGACTATGGTCTCAAAGTACATCCATTTTTCCTACAAATCACTCGTTTATCCTTCTTTATGGCAGAGTAGTACTCCATTTTATATAAATACCACACTTTATCCATTTATCAACCGCATCTGGGCTATTTCTAAGATTTAGCTATTGCAAATTGTGTTGCTATAATGTCAGGTGTGGCAGCACATGCCTGTAATCCCAACACTTGGGAGGCTGAGGCAGGAGGATTGCTGCAAGTTTGAGGCTAGCCTGGGCTACATAGCAGATTCAAGGCCAGCCTAGCCTGCACAGACAAATCTTGTCTCAAAACAAAATATGCTGCTATAAACTTGGATGTGCATATATTGCTGTGCTGTGATGTTTTTAACTCTTTTGGGATACCAAGAAGGGGAATAGCTGGGTTAAATGAACCTCAGTTTTTGGAGGAATCTCCATTTTGATTTCTATAGTGGTTGGGAATTTACATTCCCACCAACAGTGGAGAAAGGTTCTTTTTTTCCCCATACCTTTGTCAGCATTTGTTATTGGTTGATTTTTTAAAATTTTATTTAAAGAGAATAAAAAACAAGAAAAAAATACAGAATTTCAAAACAAGATGACAAGAAGTGAACAATGGTTGTTATATTGTATACTGTTATCTTTAAAGTAGTTGTTCAGATTACCAGATATAGGCATGCATTGGTTGATTTCTTGATGAGCGAGCCATTCTTTCTGGAACAAGATGAAATCTCAGTGTTGTTTTAATTTGCATTTTTTGAATGACCAGTGATGTTGAGTATTTTTTCATATATTTGTTGTTTTTACTTCATCTGCGAAATGTCTATTCACTTCAGATGCCTATTTTTTGGATTGGGTCTTTAAATTTGGGGGTCTGGTTTTTTTAAGTCCTTAATTCTAGATGTTAGTCCTTTCTCTGAGGAGTAACTGGTAAAAATTTTTTCCCATTTTGTGTGTTGTCTCTTCACACTGTTGGTGGTTTATTTTGCTTTGCGAAAGCTTTTACAGGGCTGGGGATTTAGCTCAGCAGCACAGCACCTGCCTGGCAAGGGCAAGGTTGTGAGTTTGATTCCTGGTCCCGGAAGAAAAACAAAAGGAAAAAAAAAAATTAAATTTGATGTGATCCCAGTTGTTGATTCTTTGTAATATTTCCTATGTAATTGGGGTTTTGTTCACAAAATCTTTGCCTACACCTATGTTTTCAAGAGTTTTACCAATTCTATCTTCCAGTAGATTTAGTGTTTCTGTCTTTATATTTAGATCTTTGATCCATTTCAATTTTAGGTTGGTGCATAGTGAGAAGTATGGATCTAGGTTTAATTCTGGGCATGTGGAAAGCCAGTTTTCCCAGCACCATTTATTGAAGAGGCTATCTTTCCTCCAGTGAAACTGTTCAGCCTTTTTGTCAAAGATAAAGTAGCTGAGGCCAGGCATGGGGGTGCACACCTAATCCCAGCACTCAGGAGGTTGAGGCAGGAGGATCACTGTGAGTTCCAGGGCAGCCTAGGCTACAAAGTGAGTTCTAGGCCAGCCTGAACTGCGTAGTAAAATCCTGTCTAAAAAATAAATTAAATAAATAAGGTAGCTGAGTATGTCTGGAGCTGTTTCTGCATCTTTTAATCTGTTGAATTTATCCTAGGGCCTGTTTTTTTTGCTAGGACCATGCTGTTTTTACCACAATAGCTTTGTAGTATAATTTCAAATTAGGGATTGTGATCCTTCTGCCTTGCCTTTGTTGCCAAGAATTGCCTTTACTATTATAGATCTCTTCTGGTTCCAAATGAATTTTAGAATTGTTTTCTCTAATTCTGTGAGATATACTACCAGTATTTTGATCAGGATTACATTAAATCTGTGTAACAATTTGGGAAGTATGGCCATTTTCACTATTTTGGTTCTTCTTACCCAAGAACAAGGGATATCTTTCCATTTTCTGATATCCCCTTTGACTTCCTTTTTCAGAGTACTATAGTTTTCAATGGAGAGGTCTTTTGCTTCCATCCTTAGATTGATTCCTAGGTATTTCATTTCTTTGGATGCTATTGTGAAAAGTGTTGTTTCCAAGATTGCTCTCTCAGTGAGTTTGTTATTTTTGTACAGGAATGCAATTGACTTCTGAGTGTTAATGTTGTACCCCGCTATACTACTGAATTTGGTGATTAATTCTAGAAATCTTTTGGTAGAGCTTTTGGAGTCTTCTATGTAGAATATCATATCATAAGCAAACAATGATAATTTAGCTTCTTTATTATCCTTATTCCTTTTATTTCTTTCTCTTATTTCATTGCTCTGGCTAATGTTTCCAGAACTATATTGAACAGGAGTGGTGACAGTGGACATCCTTGTTTTGTTCCTGATTTTAGAGTGAAAGCTTTCAGTTTTTGCCTATTAAGTATGATATGGTCTGTCATGAATGGCTTTTATCAGATTAAGATAAAGCCCATCTATTCCAGTTTTCTGTAGGTTTTTTTTTTTTTTTATCATGAATGGGTGTTGAACTTTGTCAAATGCCTTTTCTGCATCTATAGAGATGATCATGTTTTTGTCTTTGGTTCT